GAATTCAATGTCATGTTGATGTCCCTCTCCTGTGGTTATTTTTCAGCATCACAGAACATACCATGCTATTTGGAATTTAATTAATTCTAGCCTGAAAGCGTTTCTTAGGGGCGCCTGAAAGCATTTCTTAGGGGGTACCTTCTTTGTAGTTCACTGTATAATAGCTGATTTTCACCTTTTAAAATTTTTTTCTCCTTGTACTTCCAACCCTAAAATTTCTGTTGCAGTGAATATTACTTTAGAGCAAACAGTTCTTCTAGGACTTCCTATTATTATTTTTAAAGTAGAATGTGATATATGAGTGGGTCGTATGAAAACTAAAACCCTGTACAAATGTAGCATAAAGACAAATGTAGCCAAAGGATGAGATGGTTGTGAGCACAGTTGGAGATTCTGATTATACTTTAACTTTGTGAAATTTGACCTCTTAAGGTTTCTCTGCTAAATGAGATTGTCAAACATAAAGTTGTTAATGTGTGAATAATACTGACTTAGTTCAAATAAGATGTTCAGATTGAGAGGATGAGATGAGAAGTCCAAGTCAATAAGGTAAAATGTGACAGGTTATATTAGCAAAACAGGTTAAGTGGGAGTTACCTGAAACTATCCGGCTATGCTCTTGGCATCATCAGTTCCTCACTGCTGGAGCTACTTTTGTAGCTGTAATGTTTACTCAACATTTTCACAGTTCAATTTAACAAATTAAAATAATTAAAATTATTACAAAGGCCTAATGATTTGAGGCAGATTTCTCTACTGTATAAACAACATTGGTATAGATTAGTCCTTTAATGGAGAAGGGGACTGGACCACCCTCCCTCAACCAGGCACACTGCGCCAGTGCCTCAGGGCACACCCAGGGACCCGAGGCATGGAGAAGGGGACCCAACCGCCCTCCCTCAACCAGGCATGCTGCACCAGCTCCTCGGGGCCCGCCCAGGGACCCAGGATATGGAGAAGGGGACCTAACCGCCCTCCCTCAGCCAGGCACACCACGCCAGTAATTCAGGTCCAGCCTGGGGACCCGAGGCATGGAGAAGGGGACTGGACCCACCTCCCACAACCAGGCACACGATGCCAGTGCTTCGGGCCCACCCAGGGACCAGAGGCATGGAAAAGGGGACCAGACACACCCCACAGCCAGGCACACTGCCAGCGCCAAGGAGCATGCCAAAAACATCACCTCCATGTGGGTGGCCCACCACAGTCACCATGATAACCATGGCTGCCGCAAAAGTAGCTGAACACCACAACCACCAGATGCAATACCAGATGGTCCACCAACCACTGGAGTGCATTGACATAAGGAGAATCACCAGCAGAGACAAAGAAGAGGATGTCTCTCTCCACAGAGCCCATTTCAGAGTGACAGAAGAAGCATCTGCTCTATGATAATATTGGGGAACCTGATCATACCTCTCAGCATTGGACAGATCCTCTAGGCAACAAATTAACAGAGTAACCATTATTCTTTCAGAAGGAGAGAATAAATCTAGGGTAATTATAGGGGGCAGGGGGGAGGGAATGGGGGAAAGGGAGAGATTGGACAAGGGGCATTAAGAATAATTACAATTTATGGGCCGGCCCGGTGGCGCACTGGATAGTGCGCCGCTTGGGAAGTGCGGCGGCGCTCCCATCCGAGGGTTCGGATCCCACATACAGACCGGCTCCTGCTCACTGGCTGAGCGAGGCGCGGGAGCAGCGCCGAGGCTTGCGATCCCGTTGCCGGTCCCCGGTCCAGTACGGGGGCAACACTGAGGGTTGCGATCCGTTGCCGGACACGGAAAAAAGACAAAAAAAAAAAAAAAAAAAAAAAAGAATAATTACAATTTGTATATATATATGCTAGTAATATTGATTTGATCAACATATCTCAATGTTCAACCCCCAAAATACGTATAATCAATTTTGATTCAATAAATAAAAGTATTTTTTAAAAAATAGATTAGTCCTGGGGCCGGCCCGGTGGCGCACTGCTACAGTGCACCGCTTGGGAAGCGCGGCAGCGCTCCCGCCGAGGGTTCGGATCCCACATACAGACCGGCCGCTCACTGGCTGAGCAAGGGGTGGGAGCAACACCGAGGGTTGCGATCCCGTGGCCGGTCCCGGTCCGGTACGGGCGCAACACTGAGGGTTGCGATCCATTGCCAGTCACGAAAAAAAAAAAAAATAGATTAGTCCTTTAGCATTATCATTTGGTTTTATAGAAGCTTCAGTTTGTTAAACTTAGTATACTCAAATTTCTAGGAGATATTTGTTATCTCCTAGATAGTTTATTGTTTAACTTTTGTTAAATTGTCTATATACTAAGTGTCTCAATATTGTCTACTGTTAAACTTTTCAATATAGGGAAAGGATATTAGTGCTAAAAGTAACTTTCAGGTGCCATATAATGAATAAGAACAGGTGGTACTATAACCTAAGATTTAAGTGCCCACACTGTCTCGAATTATTAAAAAGGAAAAATTTGCAGTTTATTCAGAACAAATTATCTTAGAGACCAATATAACATTCTAAATGACTTATCTAGAATTTTTTTCAGTATTGCGGTCTATGTATGTTCCATAGTTTAGCATTCAAAAAAGGTATTGATTTCACCCATGTTTTATGCATTTATATTTATAAAACAACTTTCCCTAAGGAGTACAAGGACATTTTCATGTCAATAACATGTTGAATTAGAAATTTTTTGATAAGAGAATTTTTTTTACCACTTCACACCCACCAAGATGGCTATAATAAAAAAGCTAAACAATGATAAGTATTGATAAAGATGAGAAATTGGCACCGTATTATTGCTGGTGGGAATGTAAAATGTTGCAACCGCTTTGGAAAACAGTTTGGCAGTTCCTCAAAAGTCAAAAATAGAGTGATCGTATAACAAAGTGATTTTATCCTATGTATATAACCAAGAGAAATGAAATACGTTTACACAAAACTTGTACACCAGTATTCATAGCAGCATTATTCATGATAGCCAAAAAGTGGAAACAACCCAAATGTCCATCAACTGATGATAGGATAAACAAAATGTGGTATATCCATACAGTGGAATATTATCCAACAGTAGAAAGGAATAAAGTATTGATTTTTGCTACAATGTGAATGAAATTTTAAAACATCGAAAAGCCACATGTTACATGATGCTATTTCTATGATATGACTGGAGTAAGCAAATTCATACAGACAGAAAGGAGATTAGTGGTTGCCAGGCCTGGGGGGAAAAAGAGGATGGGGAGTGACTGCTAATGGTAATGGGGGTTTTATTAGGATCATAAAAATGTTTTTAATTAGTGGTGATGCACAAATTTGTGAATATGCTAGAAACTACTGAACTGTACACTTTAAAAAGGCATGTGAATTGTGTGTCAATAAAAATTTTTAGCAATGTTTACTTTTCTGTATAAATTTTTAAAATAAAATTGTAAGAAGTTTTTTGTAATTAATGCCAGGACTTTCCAAAAAAAAATTAAACACAAAAGCTGACATTCACCTTATAGTTTACTATATATCGAGTAATGTGTAGCATGCATTGTACAGAACTTTCACCAATCTGAATGTGAGATACTTTTACCAAAGAGTGCCAAGAGTGGAGTAGCCTATAGCAGATATCTAATGCCTGTCTTCTCTCATTATACTTTGTCACTTACAGGAGAGAAATGACCTTTAAAAAACATTTGAAAGTTTATCTTACCTCAGAAATGTCAGTTAAGAATATCATGTAATAGTGGAAGGACCATTGCTGTAGAGTCAAATATAAAACTATGTTTGAGAACCAACCTGAAATTTACTAACAGCTTGTTCCTGTTAAAGAAATTCTTTATCTTCTCTGAGCCTCAGGCTTCTCATCTGCAAAATACCTAGTAGGACTGTTATTACGATTAAATGAAATACTGTGGATAAAACATACTATGTTCTCTTCTTCCTTGCCCTGCCCATACTATGTTTCTTCGCCCTAGAACATCTCTTACCCCATGCCTCCTCCTGCTTTACACACATACCCCTACATAAACCAAGTTAGGTTTCCCTCCTGTATGCTCCCACTGAACGTAGGGATTACCCTACTGAAGCACTTACCGTACTCTATTGAATTTTTATGTTTACTTGCCTGTCTCCCCTAGGAAACTGTAAGTTCTTGAAGGGGAAAAAAGCCATATTTTGTCCACCAATGTATGTGCATTACCTAGTGTAGTGACTAGCTCAATAAATGTTGGAATTAATGAATTTTAATATATCTAGCATTACACTGGATTCATAATAGCTCCCTGAAAAGATATAATGTATCTGTGTTTCGTTTTCTGTTAGAACACAATTCAATCTGAACTATTTTCAGATTTATAAGTGATGATTTATATGTTAAGTGGAAATGTTTTCATTACTAGTACCTATGGAATGAAGAGAATATTCCTTGTCTATGTTATAATAGACTACTTGTAGTTCTGTATTTATCTTTACAATTTATAGATTATGTTTTTGTAATATCCAAATATACATATATTTACTAACTTAACTATTTATTTTACAAGTGTCTCAAGAATTTGCAGTTTAATGTGCATATTCCATGCCATTCTTCTCCACCTGACATTATTTAGATTGAGAATGAAATAGCAAGCTTGGAAAATAATGCTATAGATTTAAGAGGCCTATGAAAAGTATAGAAATTAAATCATTTTAAGCAATATAACTGAAACTTGCTCTTACCATTTTTTACTTTAAGTGTCTTACAAAATAGTAATAATAGTAATAGATAGTCAATAATTATTTGGGAATGGAAGGAATGAAAATAAAGATGGAATGAAGGAAATGAATTGGTGTGTTATGTTTTCTGGACTTACCTATTTCAATACATATGCCTCTAAATTATTTATAAAAGCTGTGCTGAATAAATCTAAACTATTAACTGCATAAATATTGGGGTTGTGGAAAAAGAAGAAGTAAGTTTATATAAATCATTGAGACTGCTTTATTTGGAGTCTCAATAACCATTCTGCTTCTTTCAGGTACAGGGAACTGCAACTAAGTACAGAAAGCAAAGTAACAGAATTTCTCCATCAAAGTAAATTAAAAGCTTTTGAAAGTGAGCGTATTCAACTTCTACAAGAAGAAACTGCAAGAAATCTCACACAGTGTCAATTGGAATGTGAAAAATATCAGAAAAAATTGGAGGTACATTTACAAGCTTTTTTTTCAGCATTAGCAGAGCACGTAAGCTCCCTAAGGTTTATATAAAGCTTTATTTCTTCTGTAAGACCCAGTACTGTCCTGCACAAAAAACAAACAACAACAAACAGGGAAGTATGTGTTTCAGAAAGATGTATACCGAAAAGGACTGGAATTTTTAGAAAACAAAAAATGAAAAGTCTCGTACACATTAGCAGACAAAAACATATAATTACCTGGAATATTTTTAGTAAGAATAGTGCAGAGTCTATATCAAGAAAACTATAGAACTTCATTGATGTGTATAAGAAACACCATCTTTCTGGATGGCAGTATTCAGTATTGTATTTTTCAATTTTCGTCAAGTAATATTATATGTTTATTTCTAATCAAATGCTTGTATGCTTTTTTTAACACAACAAAGTAATGCTATAGTGCCGCTGGAAGGAAAAAAAGACAATAGTTAATATTTTTAAAGAACATTATTGTATTTTTCAATTTTCGTCAAGTAATATTATATGTTTATTTCTAATCAAATGCTTGTATGCTTTTTTTAACACAACAAAGTAATGCTATAGTGCCGCTGGAAGGAAAAAAAGACAATAGTTAATATTTTTAAAGAACATTTTTTAAAAGGAAGAATGAGAGGAAGTATGTGTCGCATTTTATTTTATTATTTATTTATTTGTTTATTTTTAAAAGATGACCGGTAAGGGGATCTTAACCCTTGACTTGGTGTAGTCAGCACCACGCTCACCCAGTGAGCTAACCGGCCATCCCTATATAGGGATCCGAACCCATGGCCTTGGTGTTATCAGCACCACACTCTCCCGCGTGAGTCACGGGCCGGCCCTTGTGTCGCATTTTAAAATGAATTCTGAGGCAAGAATAATTAAAACACCCACAAAAAAAATTCCATAAATTGTATGAAATACAAAGCCCCCAAAACTTATTCACATAAATTTAAGAATTTATTTGTGATAAAGGTTGTATTTCAAATCAGTGGGGAAAATATGAATTAGGCAGTAAATGGTGCTGTGATAGTCATTTGAGTATTTAGAGAAAATAGTTGGATCCATACGTCACACTGTATGCCAAAATAAAACTCAAGTGGATTACTAAGCTGATGTATATATGGAACTATAAAATTATTAGAAGTAAATGTAGATGAAGTTTTATGTCAGTTTGGGAATTAATCTGTTAATCTATTGATTAAAGCAAGGAAAGAAATCATATGGGAAAAATAAAACCCGTACGTTAAAAAAAAAAGTCTGAATAATATTAAAGGCAAAATGGAAACTGAAAAATAATATTTGTATTATGCATGACAAAAAGCCTGTGTCCTTAATTTTAAAAGACCTCTTATCAAGAGGGCATGCTTTCCTCTCCCAGATAGGAAAAAAGGAATGGGCCATTTCCAAGAAAAGAAATGCTAATTGCTAATATATAGATGAAAATATGTATTCTCACTGATAATTAAAGAAATATAAATTTAAACTTTCTTTTACCTTTATATATGTCTGTGTGTTGTTTTTAAAGTGCTGGCAGGAGTACCCTTAAATGGGAAACTCATGCAGTTAGAAAATGGAACAGCCCTTTTGAAGAACAATATGGTAATCTGTGTTATAGGCCTTGAAAAATTGATTTAGTGATTTTAGTTAAAGGAATTTTACCTAAGGGAATAATAAGAGATGTTGATAAAGCTTTATATTAATGATTTATATCACAGCATTATTTATTATAGTATAAATTGGAAGTAACTTAAATGTCCAAGAGTAGATAAACAGTTTTCAATTAGTGTGTTATAAATTGTGTATTTTGCTGTGTCCATGCATTGTCTGAATGCACTCTTATTCTTGAATATTTTAGATTTGGGGGAAATGTTCACTAAAAATATTAAATAAAGGATGCAATTATGTCATTAGCATAATCTTGACTATATGTTACAAGTTCCTTAAAAAAACAATTTACATAGAAAAAAGATTTGAAGGAAATATATCAAAATGCTAGTTTATTTCTGAATGGTATAATTATGGGTGATTTTTATTTTCTTTATTCTCCCCATTGGACTTTAAGTTTTATGAAGGCAAGCCCTGGACCATTTTTAAATGACCAGTAAATTCCCAGGTCCTAGCCAGAGTCTAGCGTGTAGTTAATTGAATTGATAGTATCTCAGTACTTTTTAACTAAGCATCTGTTCAGTGATGAGAACTGTGCTAGGCTTGATTACACACATAATTTTTAACAAGAAATGATTCCTATCTTCAAGAAGCTACTAGTGTGAACAGGGTGTTGAATAGAACTTTCTGTAATGATAGAAATGTTCTATATCTGATCTGTCCAGTTCAGTAGCCACTCGCCACATGTAGCTATTTAGCACTTGAAACATGGCTGGTGCAACTGAGGGACTAAATTTCTTATTTTAGTTAACCTTAATTAAATTAAATCTAAATTTAGTTAGCTACATGTGGCTAGTGGCTATGGTATTGGACTGCATGCTCTAGACAATTAATCAGATCACACACACTTTTTTACTGTTGAACAGTGGTGAGGTTTGAAAACTTTTCAGTTTTATCATTTAAAAAAAAGAAACTCTTTTCTGCCTAAACAGGATTTCTTATAGCAGTATTGAGTAGTGGGTAGGCCTGTGAGCTTTGCAGTAAGCAGACCTAAGATTTGACTCCCATTTAGTCACTGCTTTCTGGGTGATCTATGCCTTTTCTTTGAGCCCGGGTTGCTTCATCTGTCAAATAGGAATAATAATAGCAACTGCTTCATAACTTTGCTATAAAGAGCCTGTTTGGCACCTATAAAGCACCAATTTATTCTTAGCACCTATTCATAGAAATTCTCAAAATATTTTGCTTTGATGCTATAGAATTTTGTTTTAGGTAAAGTCAGGAAGGAAATGCTACAGAAACGAAAGTATCACTTTCCAAAAGATAAGTATTTGTTAAATAAAAACATAAATGAAGTTTTGGGTTTTTCTTTACTTTTCAGATCCCATAATAGTGTGTCAGCTAGTAAACTCAAATGGTCTACACTTCCAATTTTCCTTTCTGCATATGAAAGTTTTTTTCAGAGTTATGAACGTTTATAATTGTAGGTCATTACACAGAAGCTAAGAGGCAAATAAACTGAAAATCAATTAGAAGCCTTTCCCAATTGAAAATTAATCAGGTATTAAAGCATTTTCCCCAAATTATAATGTAAGGCAACTATATTATAGGATAAATATCAGAAAATACAACTTTTTGTATGTAACCTGGAAATACGTGTGTTGCATAAATATCTCTAAAATATCCAAATATTTCTTTTTTAACTATTTTTATTCAGTTACCTCTAAAAACCACTTTAAAAGAGCTGTACATTCTAAATTGTTATATCATTCTTGAAAACAATTTGGCAATGTGTATTTGTAAGGATATATCATAAACATGTGAAAAGTTTCATGCATAAAGATACTCTGCAGCATTTATAATAGCAAAGAACTGAACGCTATAAAATCACATTATTGGAAAATAGTTATGTTTAAAAATACATTTATTTTTTGGTGGAATGGTGTTCGATTGATATTTTAAGATCACATAAAAACATGAAAACATGGAGTATACTCTTTTGTAATATTAGGTGAAAACAGCCCTTTACATAACTATAAATACTAGAGTTTAAACAATGCATGGCGAGGGGAAGATTTTGAAGAAATATACCAAAAGTTAGTAGTGGTTGTGATTAATTAATAAATAGGCCATGGGCAATTATGTTTTATTTCTACTTTTTTGTTCGCGAAGAAATTAAATTACTTAAGGTCACACAACTAGTAATAACTGAACTGTGATTTGAACTCACATCTGACCAACCTGACTTCAAATCTCATACTTTTACCTACCACAATATTCAAATAATAAAGTATTTATTACAATAATCCCTCAAAGATTACACTTCTGAAAAGTACCCTAATAAGTAAAACTAAGCTTAACAAGATAAAGGGTCTCAGAGAATAAAGCCTTAGTGAAAAACATAAAAATGGTATTAAATATGTATGTCTATTTAAGGACCCACAAGCAAAAATTGTAGATGCTTTCTACTTCCAAAGCCAATCAGTGTTCAGCATTTAAAACTTTTTATATACCTTCTTCAGGAAACTCTGCAGACACTATGCTTGAGGATATGTCTTGGGGCCCGGGGTGGATGGGGGGTAGAAGCTATTTATATTGAAGAGAAGCACCTCTTTGTGTGTACTTCTGAAACAAATGTTTCACAAAACACAATACTTCACAGCATACAGTGCTGATCTTTTCCAAATCATTCTATTTTATTGTCTAGCTGGTTCCAAATCAAATTGATTGCATGACCTCCTAAAGGTTGCAACTTACAATCTGAAAATCACTCTCCCACAGAGAGTGGTCTATGGATGCAGGTGACTAGTAATTATTACATTGTTTTGTTTAAAGGTATTTTATGGAGAAACACCTTTGTAAAAATATCATGGTTCTAATAACTCTGGTTGATAAAACTGAAGCTTTGGGGGATTTCTTTACATTTTCTACCTTTATTAAACTGAGGCCTGTAGAGGACTGAGACTATTTGTGTCACCAATGCTTAATACAGTGCCTCTCCCATGGTGGATGCTCCATGGAAAATGAATGAATAGTGTGATTACAGCTAGTATATGAATTCATACAGCTATGTATGAATCTATTTTTTTGGAATTTTAGTGTTTCTAAGACAATTTTTATTTATAATGAATTTAGAGAGAAATCATTTTGTGAAGGGTAAACATTATGAAATTTTCTGTGGCTTTTATCCATTATTTCAGTTGATCTGTAACTTGGGGATGATTTATTTTATTTTTGCTAAATTATTAATTAGCAAATGCTCCCAAACACTGGCTTTATATATTTGTCTCTTTTTCAAAGCAATTATTGACCCATAATGTTATATTATCATTCAATTAACATGTATATGAAGGAAGGAAACTTTCACTATGACAGTTTGATATTTAAGGGATTCCTATAAGTAATTGACCTATTTTATGCATCCATGCTTAAACTCAATGTTCATATATTGATTTTTCCTAAAGAATCTTCAATACAATAGCCTTCCATGGGTTAAATAATCAAGTTCTTCTTTGACTTTTCAGAAATAGTAATAAATTTATTTGTAGCAGTAACTAAGACAAGTCCATAGTAAAAGGGAATTCTTCACCATAGTTTTAAGAGAAACCCCAAATCAGAATTTTCTTGGGACCTCCCCTCCATGTTTTAAAGAGAAGATTTTTTTTCTTATTTTTTTTTTTTAGATTTTAAATTGTGTCCAATTTAATAGTACTTTCAAAATCTCATTTTTTTATTGAAATGTAATGATCTTACATGTTTAAAATAATACTTAATAAAATATCCTGTCTTCAGCATTTTGATTCTTTATCTGCAGGTTTTCTTTGTGTGATGTTTTTGTTGGGAGTGGGTGTGGAGTACAGATGAAAAAGTATCAGCTCTGCTGTTGGAATAGTTATTTAACACTACCTTTACTAATTGTCTCTTTTGACAGTGGATTTAATGTGTCATCAACCAACAGATTCTTAATGAATTACATTCCAATATAATGAGCGCCATGAAAGCCCCGATTGTTTCACTGACTGAGCAGTGATTTTCTTATAATGAATTAATAAGTTTCTAGAAAATACATTCCCAGCCAGCCAGAATAAAGAAGAAATAATACTAAAACATGAATTTTGTTTTTCTGATCCAATTGGAGACACTAGAAATCATCCTAAAAATATTATTTCCATATTATTCCTCTCCACCCTCTGGAGGAACTTATTTGGAGAGTGGGAGATAACATTTTGTTTACTTTGGAGTGGAGTTTTAATGAAAATTGAAGGAAATGATGTGGAGTGGGTTAAGGAAAACTAAATTGGAATTTCTGCTTGTTAAGAACTATAATTAGGTCTTCTTTATCTTATGTATCTCTTTTTTCCACATCACAGAAAGCACACAAAAATCATATGCATTTACTTAAGGTAAACTTTACATCATTTGAGAAAATAAGTTGTCTTCAAAAGTGTTTAATTATAGAGGATTCAGGATAATTAAATCAGTGGAGCTCTATTTCCATGAGCTATTTAATACAGAGTTCTCATAATTATATTTCTCATAGTAGTAATAGTACTTTTCAATACTTACTATGTTCTAGGCACTCTGCTAAGCACTGTAAATCTATTATCTCATTTAATCCCACCAATAATGTTTTAAGGTAGACCTAAAAAGAATAGTAATTTGGCTGGCCAGTTAGCTCATTTGGTTAGAGCATGATGTTATAACACCAAGGTCAGGGGTTCGGATCCTCACACCAGCCAGCCACAGAAAAAAGAAAAAAACTAATTGCCTAAGACCACAGCTAATAAGTGTCAAAGCCATATTGAAATCCAAATTTTTCTGGCTCCAAACCAAAACCATATTCTTAATTATAACATTCTGTTGCCTCTCTGGAAACAGTACATTGTGCTGTATTAGGAAACAGGTGTAATACCACTAAATAATTTAGTCTGTACTAGTAAGTAAACTTTCTAGATCATTGGAATTTAAGCATTAAAACATTCCTTTGTGACTAGAAGCATCTCCTTTTTTAGTTGATTCATTATCATCACATTGATTCCTTCAATGATTTACCATTGAAAAGTGTAAGATTTTTTTGCTCTTACACAAAATGATTCCAGTTTCCATGCTTTTTGCATCTCTTTCTTTATAAATTTTTTTATCCCTTCTTTCTTTACAAAGGCATTTTCTGACACTGCCTCAAGCAGCACTTCACATTTGCCCTTTTTTTTGGTCCTTTTTGTGACCGGCCGCACCGCGCTCAGCCAGTGAGCGCATCGCACCGGCCATCCCTATATAGGATCCGAACCCGCAGCGGGAGCGCTGCTGCGCTCCCAGTGCCACACTCTCCCAAGTGCACCACGGGCTCGGCCCCACATTTACCTTTTGATTTGCTTCTTTGAATTTATTACTGCCCCAGAAACCAAAAATGTTATTAAAACCATGGTAAAGTAGATTAAATAAGCTCTAATGGAAAACTGAAGGACTCATTATGAGTACTGTATATCATTTTTAGACACAGTTTTGTAAGCCTTTCTCAAATAGCTGTGATCGCCAGATAAATGATCTCCAGGTATGACATTATTGCATTTTTTCAATTCTTTTTTTTTTTTTTTTTTTAAAGATGACCGGTAAGGGGATCTTAACCCTTGACTTGGTGTTGTCAGCACCACGCTCAGCCAGTGAGCGAACCGGCCATCCCTATATGGGATCCGAACCCGGGGCCTTGGTGCCATCAGCACCGCACTCTCCCGAGTGAGCCATGGGCCGGCCCGCATTTTTAAAATTCTAACAAGCATATACTATAGCTTTTTCTAAGTTTTTAATTTATTTATTTATGAACCCGGGGCCTTGGTGCCATCAGCACCGCACTCTCCCGAGTGAGCCACGGGCCGGCCCGCATTTTTAAAATTCTAACAAGCATATACTATAGCTTTTTCTAAGTTTTTAATTTATTTATTTTTTTTTTTTCTTAATTTTTTTTTTTTTTTAAAGGATGACCGGTAAGGGGATCTCAACCCTTGGCCTGGTGTTGTCAGCACCACGCTCAACCAGTGAGCAAACCGGCCATCCCTATATAGGATCCGAACCCGGGGCCTTGTTGTTATCAGCACCACACTCTACCGAGTGAGCCACAGGCCGGCCTGTTTTTAATTTATTTTTTATTAAACATATAATAAGGATAAGGTACTTCATAATTTTTCAATTTAAAACAACTGAATTATTTACCTTAGAAATAAATGTATTTTATTTCCTCATTAGTCATCTCAATTGTGCTACTTTCTCTTAATATTTAAATTAGAAAGATAAAAAACCTAAATATATCTTTGTACCATGTCTTTGTCTTAACTGTTAACCTATTTAATTCTACCTTTGTAATTCGTTTCTTCCTCTGTTAGGTTTTAACTAAGGAATTTTATAGTCTCCAAGCCTCTTCTGAAAAACGCATTACTGAACTTCAAGCACAGAACTCTGAGTATCAATCAAGGCTAGACATTTATGAGAAATTGGAAAAAGAGCTTGATGAAATAATAATGCAAACTGCGGAAAGTAAGTCTCCTCCTGTCTTCCCCACCGTCCCTCCTCCTCCACCCCCCACTTTTTTGTTGTTGTTTTCTGGAAACACAAGAAACCTGTCATTGTTTCTGAAACAAGTTTGGTATATTTTCTTAAAATATAATTGGTGGCCATTTTTTAAAGAATATTCTATATTTTAAGTACTAGTTCATCTTAATTCTAACAGTTGAAATCAAAAAGAAATAAGTTAAATATAATAAATTTTTATCATTTTATTTAGTTCACTTATTCAATAATTATTAAGTATGTACATCTGCCATGACCTGAGAATATGGAGTACATGCAAATAATTCTTGCCTCATTGAGGTTCCTAGTTTAGTCTACTGGGAGAGACAAAAATATTAACAAATGATTAACGTAGCAAGAGAAGTTCTATGAGCAATAGATATGCCATTTTCGGCAGAAATAGAAAAGAAATCATGAATTAATTACATCTTGGAGGTGAGGAATATCTAAGAGGGGAAATGACACTTGAATGAATCTTGAAGGAAGAATAGAAATTCATTAAATATATTGTATTATAATCTTTGACCTTTAATTTCTATTTCTTTTTTTCCTTTTTATTCTCTCTCATTATTCCATCTTCCTGTCTTATCCCTAACTTTAAGGAATATTTAAAATTAACATTTCACCATTAACATGATATTTGCTACAGAATATTGTATGTATTCAAAAGTTAGAAATAACAGTCGCATTCTTAGAAAAGTAGGTTTAAACTTGAGTTGAAGTTGAATTTGAATCTAGTATGGTTCTAATTATTTGGGGAACATTTTTATGTAAGGATTATATTTATAGACCAATGTAAGAAAAACTTTTATTTCATTCCTATCATTGTCTTATTTTCCATTTCTAAGGTCAATGTCTAATAATTATAATAGATTCCAAATTTATGTTCAGTTTCTTTACCAGAGTCAAAGTAATCTTTATAAAATACAGATTTGATCATATCGTATACCTGCTTTAATGCCTCTCTGTTGTTTTCACTAAGTAAGCATAAAGTCAAATTCTCTAGCATGACTTTTTATGATTAGACTCTTGCCTATCTTTCTACTTTTTATGTCTTGCCATTCCCCTTTATATCTTATTATTATTTTGAAAGTTTCATGCTCTTCCTTATCTCCATAACTTTGCATATGTCCCTTTGTCTAAACAAATTAGGAATAGAAGGGAACTTCCTCAGTCTGATAATGGGCATCTACAAAAAATCTACAGCTAATATTATACTTAATGGCGAAATATGGAATGCTTTCCTCGTTAAGGAAGAGAAAGAGACAAGGATTTTTACTTTTATGATTTATATTAACACTGTATTTGAGCTCCTAACCAGTTAAGTAAATAAGGCAAGAAATAAGAAATAAAAGATATAAAGATCAAAAAGGAAGAGTAAGACTGTATTTTCAGATTATAAAACAACCACTAAAACTGATAAGTAAATTTAGCAGGATATAAGGTCATTACACAAAAATATACTAGAAACAAACAATTGGAAAAGTAAATTTTAAAAAGCAACTTCATTTATAATAGTGTTAAAATACTTAGGAATAAATTTAGCCAAAAAAAAAGAAAAACCCACAAAACATTGCAAAGAGAAATAAAAGACCCCCCCAAATAAGAAATACATGATGAAATCTATAAAATCGATGTTGTCCCAATTATAATGCCATCAGGCCCTTTTGTATTCCATTTATATGGAAATGCAAAGGACCTGGAACAGCCAAAGCAATCTTGAAAAAAGAAAACGAAGTTAGAAGACATACTGCCTGACTTCAAGACTTTCTATAAAGCTACAGTGTCAAGCTAGTATAATACTGGCATAAGGAAAGATGAATATAAAAATAATAAACAGACTAGAAAACCCAGAAATAGATTCATACTGGAATGATTGATTTTTAACAAAGGCGGAAAAGTCATCAACTGGAGAAAGGAAAGTTTATTCAATAAATGGTACTGAAAAATTGGACATCATTATGGAAATGAACCTCCTTACACCAATATTAATATGAGATGATATCTAAATGTTATAGCTAAAACTATAAACCTTTACCAGTAAACATAGGTGAGTATCTTTGCAACTTGATCCTGAAAGCAATTACCATAAAAGAAAAATTGATAAAGTAGACCTCATCAAAATTAAAAACTTCTGGGGCCGGCCTGGTGGCGCACTGCTACAGTGCGCCACTTGGGAGCGCGGCGGCACTCCCGCCAAGGGTTCGGATCCCACATACAGACTGGCCGCTCACTGGCTGAGCGAGGTGCGGGCACAACACCGAGGGTTGCGATCTCGTTGCCGGTCCCGGTCCGGTACAGGCGCGACACTGAGGGTTGCGATCCGTTGCCGGTCATGAAAAAAGACAAAAAGGAAAAAAAAAAATTAAAAACTTCTGCTCTTCAAAAGACACTATTAAGAAATCAATAGCCAAGCCACAAACACAGAGAAAATGTTCTCAATATTATATCTGACAAAGGAATTATATTCAAAATAAGAAAATAACTAAGAGAAAATATTCACAAAACATGAATTAGACAAAGAACTAGTATCGAATTGTGGTAGGCTGATAAATGTCCTCTCATTGAAACCTGTGAATATTTTGCCTGAGATGGCTTTACGGATGTGATTAAAGATCGTGAACTGAGATTATTCTGGATTATCTGGATGAGCCCAGTGTAATCATAAGGGTCCTTGTAATAGAAAAGATTATATAGTGGGCCAGCCCGTGGCTCACTTGGGAGAGTATGGTGCTAATAACACCAAGGCCACAGGTTCGGAACCCTAGATGGGGATGGCCAGTTGGCTCACCTGGGAGAGCGTGGTGCCGACAACACTAAGTCAAAGGTTAAGATCCCCTTACCGGTCATCTTTAAAAAAAAAAAAGAAAGAAAGAAAAGGTTATATAATGATAAAAGCAGAAGTCAGAGAGAATTTGAAGATGCTACACTGCTGGCTTTGAAGATGGAGGTTGGGGCGAAGTTAAGGCATGCAGGCAGCCTCTAGAAACTGGAAAAGGCAAGGAAGTGGATTCTCACCTACTGCCTCCATATGGAACCAGCTTTGCCAGCACTCTGATTTTAGCCCAGTGAGACTGATTTTTGGGCTTCTGACCTCTACAACTGTAAGATAATACATTTTTATTGTTTTAAGCCATGAAGTCTTGTAATCTGCTATAGCCACAATAGGAAATTAATACACCAGAATATATAAAGAACTCATATAACTCAATGATAAAAAGAAAATAGTCCAATTTAAAACATGGACAAAAGGTTTGAGCAAACATTTCACAAAGGAAGATATGTAAATGGCCAATAAGCACATTGAATAACCTGAAGATGGTTAGGCTTCATTTATTTAAGATATAACCATAGCAAATTACAGTATCCTATTTACACTTGAATTACTTTCTGTAATCTAATAAGCTTATCTGGATATTTAAGGAGTTTAGTTTTCAAGATTTCATCAAGTTGTCAAAAGTTACAAGTATTGCCTAAAAGCTACGTAAATAAATTCAGTTTTAAAAAAACCCTGGATTTCGGGCCAGCCCGGTGGCGCACTGCTATAGTGCGCTGCTTGGGAAGCGCGGTGGCGCTCCTGCCGAGGGTTCGGATCCCACATACAGGCCAGTTCCCGCTCGCTGGCTGAGCGAGGCGCGGGAGTAACACCGAGGGCTGCGATCCCGTTGCCGGTCCCGGTCCAGTACGGGGGCGACACTGAGGGTTGCGATCCGTTGCCGGACACGGAAAAAGACAAAACAAAAAAAAAAAAAAAAACCCTGGATTTCAAGTTCAAGGACCTGCTGTCCATTCTCATCCTTCTTGTAACCTCTGCTCAGCATTTGTCACATTTCTCAAAACTCTCTTCTCTTGCTTTTTGAGTCACCTGACTTGGATTGTTTCTTCTACAGCATTTTTTTTCTACCTAACTCTACCACTTTCTAACTCTATTTAATGTTTCCCCAAGGCTTTTTCTCTCATTCTCTTCAATTTTTACTTACCCACTTTCTGAATAATCTTATCCCTTCATTACTGCCTTTAGCCAAGTGATTCCCACAGGTTTGTGTGGAGCTTCTGCAGTCATTGAAAATTTAACACTATTTTCATTTCCTCTCCCGTCCCTGAAACTTACTGATTTTCCTGCATTCATGTTCTGTTAATAGGTTAAAGTTTTATCTACTCACCCTACTAGCTTTCATTGACCTTGATTCCTATCCCTTTCTATCTAGAGTGCCTCATCTCACCCTCATACCTGCTCTATCTAGAATCCAAGTTCTTTTCTCCACTGCTATTATGGACTATGTCTCAGCTAGATTATTACTATAACTTGTTAGGTATGCCACCAATCTAAGCTATCCTCTTCCCTATTATTGGAATTTTTTCTGTAATATCAGCATCAACAACCAAACTTCATTGGTCATGTCACCTTCCTGTATTAATCTGTTAGTTTCTTGTTGACTATAGAATAAAATCCAGTCTTTGGCCTGAAATGAGACTTCAGTTCCATTTACTGTTGGAACAAAGCCTACCTTTCTACTACTATTGTTCTCCAGACTAACTCCAGCCAATTTCCTCATAATTACTAAAACTTCACGTACTTCACAAGTGTATGCCTTTGTACATGTGATTCCCTCCTACGGCTCCTCTCTGAATGTCAGTCTCTCCATACCTTCCTAATATCTTCTAGTGTGGGAAATAGTGGCACTCAGATGTATGCTCTGTGCTCTGCTTCTAAAACTCTACGTTGTTCAGATCTCTTTAGTAGCATTTACCATGTTGTATAGTACATTGTTTCTATAATTAAATGCCCACTAGAATAGTTATCCCATGAGTTATTAATCCATTAAGTATTAAACTCAGATTTAGCATATCCATCAATACCTGATGGGTTATTGATATGTTAACTAAACTTACCCCCTCCCCTCTGAATTTAGAAGTATTTAAAAGAGACAATAAGCAGGTACATATCTAAACGCTAGCCCTAGTTCTGGTGGAGCTAAATGGAAGAAATGGTCTTAGATCTGGAGTTACCTGATAAATGAAAACAGTATTGGCAATGGAATATATCATCTCTTCCGTGTATCCCTCACAACTAATAATCCCACCTCTGAAAGCTAATCCATGTTCACCATGAAAAATACAGCCAAGTAAAACAGTTAGGAATATTTCTAAAATCTTTACTACAGAAGGACCAATCCATCAATATGTGCGTATTACATTGATAGGCATGCAAATAGTCAAGCTTCACTTGTATGTGGCTTTGTTTTAAATCTGAAATACTACCAAAAGTAGATTTCTCTTTTTAGCATTAAAATAATGGTTGCTGATAAATAGTATTATTGCTTTTATATGACATTGACTGCTTTAATTTTGAGCTAGTAAAACTAGTTTTTCTGGCCTTTGATGAATTTTTTTTTTAATCCCAACTCACAGTAAAGTGTCAATGCATTTAAACTTTCTACTCATAAGATATTAACCCATTAGTTAAAATTCCTTTGGGGGAATGGTGTGACAATAGCAGAATTTAGAAGCAAATGATATTTGCTGAATTTTTTTGCAATTAAAAAAATTAAGGACATCAGTACATGCTTTGAATTGCACATTTTCTTCACAGAGTAGATTACATAAGTGCGTAATTTTATTCTTGCAAGTTAAAATAAAGTTGTTCTTCTGATAAAATAATGAATATCTGACCTAATTAAAAGCAGTCTTTTTTAAATCAAGAAAAGCAGTAATAAAATTGATATTTTACCATTTGTCATATTACATGTATTTTATGTAAAAAGCCTTTGAATCCTTCAGAATAACACAACATCCGTATTACCATACTTTATAATAAGAAAATTTAACATTATACGATGCCATCCCTTATACCTTTTAAAAATAAATGAACCAGGGGTGGCTAGTTAGCTCAGTTGATTAGAGCATAGTGTTGATAACACCAAGGTCAATGGTTCGGATCCCGGTACCAGATAGCCGGAAAAAAAAAAAAAAACAGTAAATAAATGGAACATATCTAAGCAAGGATATACTTTAAGAAATGTGCTTCTGTTTAGCTTCTACTTACCAGTGAGCTGTTGGAGATTTCACATTATCCCTTTGTAATATTCTTATATTTCCCAATTCATTATTATAACCTCTTTTACTTTCACTTGTCATATGTTTTAAGGGAAAAAAAGTCGTTTCACATCATGCACTTTAATATTTTCCAGTTGAAAATGAAGTTGAGGCTGAAAGGGTTCTTTTTTCGTATGGCTATGGTGCTAATGTTCCCACAACAGCCAAAAGACGACTAAAGCAAAGGTAAAATCAATACATATTTATTTTTCTTATCTACTCAAACTAAATGTAATTACATTGTGCTTTTTGATAATGTACTGAGTTGAATGATAAACTTACTTTATTCTTAGTATGCATATATATTAAGTTGCTCACAAAATAAAACACAATAAGTAATAATCCCGAATTTCATGTATGTTTAAGTCGGTTTAATGGTGGGTAGAATAGAGGTGTACAATAGAATTTTTGTAGAATTTTTTAGTTTCAGTGATAAGGATACCATTTTTATTTTTTCACATTAATTTCAGATGAGTTACAAATGCTTTTTATCAACAATTTTCAGGTTAAAATTAATTAATTATGCTTTTTTTATTTCTTGTTTTTTATTCACCTGCCTACATTCCTTGACATACACTTTAGAGAGAGAGAGTGACATGGAAGTAGCATATATATTGTGATTGATATTATAGAAGTCTTTATGATGACCAAGAAAATTTTTGGAAGATCCAGTGGTTATCTTATGAGATACTGCTTAAAAGTACAGTAACAGAAAATTGTACCCCTGTTAATCAGGTTTCTAGTTGATCTACCTGATTTTTTCCCAAATTCCTCTGTCCCTTCTAAATTCATCCTACTTTGCACAAACATCTCACTGCCCCATTCTCTGCCACAACACATCTGAATGTTTCTGCCAGACTTCCAAGCCCCTCCATAATGTGGCCCCACCTCTGCAGCCTTATTTTCCTATCTACCCAAAATGAGGGTAGGTATTATCTTTCTCTCTGTAAACATCTATTTTCTCCATACCACACAGTAGAGCATTTCTCTTATTTCATTAGCTGTCATTTGCCAGGTAATTTCCCCAGCTAGATGGAAAGTTCTTCAAGATCAGCATCTGCATCTTATTCTTGTTTATTCTCTGCTATCTCTACCTAGCTTAGTGCAAGATACCTACTAGAACTATTTCTTTATCTGAGTATTTGAGGATTCAAAGATGCTTGTTTTTATTTGAATTAATTTAGATGTCTAGAGACATTACACACTAAATAAGAAAAACAATCCATCCTAACTGATACTTTTGGAGAAACTTTGAGGTGATGGCTCAGAAAATAAAATGTATTTATAACTATTTAAGTGATCTAAGATATAGACAACTTTATAGGAAGTAACAAAAGGATGCTTAGAACTTATGTTTCTTACTGGTTAAATATCTGCCAAATTTAGATCAAGGATAGATGAACAGAAAGTATCAATTTGCAGCTGGAATGGTTAATTCTGTCTGGTGAAGATTAGGTATTTCTAAATTATGTACTATTTGAAAAATCATTTGTAATACTATTCCATACTCAGCCTTCTAAAAAGTCACTATGGGTGACCTAGGCTATGATGTGATTTTCAGCATGTCTTTGTTGGGTCTGATGTTGCCTAGGGAGGAATAGGAATGTAGTTTCATGGTTAAGAGACTTCTTTATCAATGGTAAATGATATGTTAAATACTAAAAACTGAAGTATAATAGATAAAGTCTCTTCTCTGTTTTAGTATCTGAACCCTTCAAAAGAATCTTTGTTACAAGAAAAAAAGAATTTTTCTGTTATTTAGCCCCAAATGCTAAGGCCTTCCAAAACTGAAAGCAATTGTAGTTGTTATACCTTACTATTTTTTAAAGAATTTCCTAAAACAGAAGTTGATTTCTTAATATTTAGAGTGAAGATGTAAGTAGCCACAACTGATTCATATTCCAAATAATCTTAACTATCCAAATATTTCTAAAGATTCTACCACTGAGCTATCTATGTGCCTTGAACAAGTGCCTAATGGGCATGCTATTAATATCTCCTGCCAGCTGGTGCCAGGCATTCTTCTCATGGTGAGCCAGGAGGTTATTTTGAGGAAGTGCTTCTCAGGTCATCTAAACTGAGTGAAGGGAAAGTAAGTCTAGATATCCGAAGAGGACATTTATGCATTCCTTTACCCATTCATTCAGCAACTTTTATTTAGTGCTTACTGTATGCACAAAATTGACCAATGGCACAGAAGATCCCAGGTTAGGATCTGATGCATTTCTAAAGTTTGCCAAATCCACATTTGATTTCTTAATGGATATTCGTCAAGAAAGCTGTGCTCTCTTTAAGTTTAAGATGAAAGCAATATAGTCTTTGAAGGAATCTGTATTTAATCCTTCACATTTGAAATTAAAGCAGTGGAAACAACTCAGTCAGAACAGTAAATGAAATATTTGCATGATAAAGATTTCATTATACACCAGCCTGTACCAAAACATATTAAAATTTCAAAAGAACTTATTTCCCAACTACATGATATATTTCAGTCATACTAAATTTGATTTAAATTCTCATATAGTCAACAACCAGAATAAGATATTTTATTTAATTGAAAGGAGGTTTCTGATTATAAAAATAATATATGTCTATTTTCTAAAATTTGAAAAATGGTACCAACCAGCCACCAAAAAAAAAAAAAAAAACAATGAAATTAGAGAAATTACTGGTAACCTTACTATCCAAAGTAATGATCAGAAATTTATGCAGATACATATATTTTCTTACATATTTAGGATATTTTTGTCTGTAATTTAGTATTTTAACATTTTTATCTTAGGATTTCATCCTGAACATTTTCTTGTATCATTGAATATTCTTCAAAAAGATCATTTTGTAAAGAAATTTATTTTTTAATTGAAATGTATTGATTGTATATGTTTGTGGGGTACAGGGTTATATTTCAATACATTTATACAAGGTTTGATGATCAGGGTAATTAGCATATTCATTATCACAAAACTTTATCATTTCTTTGTGTTGAGAACATTTGATCTCTTCTAGCCATTTGAGAGCATGCAATAAATTATTGCTAATTATAGATTCCTAGCACTACTTTACACCACTAGAACTTATCCAAAAAGATCATTTTTAATGGTTATTCAAAACTTTAATTTTTAGGAGTTCTGTTTTTGAGTGCCGTATTGCTGTTAATCAATTGGATAGCCTTTGAAAAATTTCATTAGTTGCCTGTTGCTATCCAAGGAATGTTATGAAATTAAAATGAGAAAATGGATGTTAAATTTATCACATGTGCCTGACATAGAATAAGTGTTCAAAAAAAACTAGTTTGTTATACCAATTGTGTTCATAGAATAAGTTGCATAGTTAATTTTAGAGAAAAAGCCAGGGTTTTAGTACCTTTCATTAGGCACAATTTGAGTTTACATTTAAAACAATTTTGTTTTGGGCCGGCCCGGTGGCGCACTGCTACAGTGCGCCACTTGGGAGTGCAGCGGCGCTCCCGCCGAGGGTTCGGATCCCACATACAGACCGGCGGCTCACTGGCTGAGCGAGGTGCGGG